AATATACTACCGACATTTACCCAAAAGAACTTACTTTAACTAAATCTAACATAAACAGCAGTAGTTGTCCTTTTCTAGATTTGGACATTTCAATCTCTAAAGGAAAACTCCATACTAAAATTTACGACAAAATATTGTACTCAGTAAAGCGCGGAAATCACTATGTGATCCGTGTAAACTCATCGAACCTTTAAACAAATTTATTAGTAAAGGTTATCTTACCAATGTTGTAATTAGATCTTTGAATAAAGTTTACATTGGCATTAATATCGATTTTGTCATCAGCAAATTAAAACATAACTAAATTTGTATTCTTTTCAAACGGGATGTATAAGAACACACCCACGTTCATTTTGATCTATAAAGAGGTATACTCCTACATGTAACTATCATACTGCCTGTCGATACATTTATTTTTGGCATTCATGTCTTCTTTGACTGTCCATGACGTTAACATACTAAATCCCTGAGATGTGTTTTAGTTGATTTTAGTCTCTGATGCATGATTTTTTTATTATTAATTGTTTTTGGCTTTTAACTAGCTGCCAGCAACTGCGAGTACTCTCAAATCGTACTTTCTTGTTTTTTTGACCTATTGATACTAATTGTAATGCTTTTTTGTTATTTAATGTTATTCAGGGTTATATCTGGTCTATATACCAGCTTTGATAAGTGTTTGGTATTACTATAAATTTTCACTTCGTACTATGAACATCAATATTATTTATTTTGTAAAAATATTTCCTTTCTCTATTTGAACTGTACACATATACCTAACAACAAAATTATTTTCATTTACCTGTGTTTAAAGTAATTGCAAATGGCTGATATTTTTGTTCAAGCGTATTGTTTTTCTTAAATTGTTTAACATTTCACAGCGGTATAAAATGTTACTTTAATTATTCTTCCCTTAGTTTATTTATTTTGTATTTACATTGTATCATAGATCAAACCTATTTGTTCAGTGTATGTTCACTGGTGTTAATATGTCTTTTGATTGAGTTAAGCAATTTCAATTGATATTTATAGTGTGTCTTTCTATGTTGTGATGTTACACTATTGTTTCAGATAAGGGTGAAGATTTACTACCATTAAAACGTTTAAACCCGCTGCAATTGTTTGCACCTGTCCTAAGTCAGGAATCTGATGTTCAGTAGTTGTCGTTTGTTGATGGGGTTCATAAGTGTTTCTCGTTTCTCATTTTTTATATAGATTAGACCGTTGGTTTTCCCGTTTGAATGGTTTTATACTAGTAATTTTTGGGGCCTTTTATAGCTTGCTGTTCGGTGTGAGCCAAGGCTCCGTGTTGAAGACCGTACTTTGACCTAGAATGGTTTACTTTTATAAATTTTGACTTGGATCGAGAGTTGTCTCATTGGCACTCATACCACATCTTCTTATATCTATTTGTTGATCAAATTTATGGTGAAATGTTAACGAGTTGGGTTTTTAGTTGTATTGCATTAGCAAATTAATCTCAAATGTGAAGAGGCGTAGGCCTTAGCGTTAAATATCTTTTTCAAAGACGGTTAACCAAGTTCTTTACGTTTATATCTGATTTAATACCTGTCAATTAATTGAAAATAGAACATCATATATGTCATTTAATTTAGTTAATTATTTATTAACGATGAATAAATATGTTATATTTTATCACTTATAAAGAATATATTAACACAGATAACGACTTTAAATGTGTACGAATGCACTATTTATACCAAACATTTGTGATGAGACTGAAAGTATCTTGATTTGACCACGAATAACTTTTGTCAAGCTTCTAAATGTGTATGCTTCTTTGTTTTCATGCTTCTTGATTTTTATGCTTCATGATTACTATGCTTCATAATATTTAAAGTACCCAAAGGGTTGATTGGGGTATAGAAATATGGCCATCCATGGACTTTTCTCGACCGGCTGTACATTTATTTTTGCTTTCGAAGTGTGTCCATTTCCCTGTGCCGGATAGATAAATTCGCATCTGCGTTCGCTTGGAAAGAATACTTTATATCCAATTACTCGTGTAGGGTGAGTGCCACGCTCACTGTACTTTAAAGAACCATTGTAACAACGTTTTAGTTCGGTTGGCTGCCTGTTGAAAGGCAAAATATCTGAATCTATCCGTCATATACCCTTTTTTATGTGAGGTCCAAATCTCCTGCCCTTCATCCCGTTCGACCAATCGTCCAGAATTCACTCAGAACATACCGTACGGTGGCCTATAGTTGTTAATTTCTGTGTCATTCGATCTCTTGTGGAGAGTTGTCTCGTTGGCAATTATACCACATCTTCTTATTTTTCTATTTGTATTAATTGTTATTTCATTTGCGTCTTGAATATGCATGCAATGATTTCCTCTGGACGTTACGCAAGCAACATCAATCAATACATATTTGAAGTATCAAGCTTTCTAAACATTTGGCCTCGAGAGAATACAAAGCCACGTGGCATACAAACTGAAATCGGCGCTATACATTTATTGCACCAGGTCGCCTCGAATTATACGAATTCACAAATTAATTACTTTAACGAAATATAGAAAATTACAATATTTGTTCAATAATTCATTGTTAACTTCAGTGCTACTCCTGTCATCATAAAACTCATCAAAATGTTTATTTGGTTCCTTTATTTAGACTTTATTAGCCGGAATTACTCTGCACCTCAATATTCAATTTTTCTTATTAGCCTCAATTACCCTTCACAAACACAAGCATAAATTGTAGTAGGTGGCAAAAAGTTCATGTCAATTCTGATTTTCCCCACTGGGTTTATATCTTTACCAATTAACAATATTGTGTAAATACAGCGTATCATGGGTGTCGTATTTTCTAGAAACAATGAAAAATCGTGACAAACAAAATGTAATCCTCAAGCTGCCTTCAGTAAACTGGTGTATTTGTCATGAAACATTACAAATGAATTTAATATCTTATAGTCTTTATATATTTTTTATTTAAGTATGACACTTCTCATAAGAATGTCAGTAAACTAGATACATGACTTCTTTCATTAGTTGTTATTGGCTTTGAACTAGCTGTCAGTAACTGCGAGTACTCTCAGATCTGTACTTTATGTCTTTTTTGTTGTTAGGGATGTATAAATACCCTGCCAAGTCCGGTCTGTGTTTTTGTTAAGTGTTTTTATGCTTTGTATCGATCTGATGAGTTAAGCTATTTTCAACTGGTTTTTATAGTTTGTTCTCATGTTGTGTTGTAAAACCACTGTCCAAGGTTAGGGGGAAGTTTGAGCGCTCACAAACATGTTTAATCCCGCCACATTCTGTATGTGCCTGTCGCAAGTCAGGAGCCTGTAGTTCAGTGGTTGTCGTTGGTTCATGTCTGTCATATTTGTTTTTCGCAAATTAGTTTGTTATAAATTAGGCCGTTAGTTTTCTTAATTAAATTGCTTCATGTCGCGGCCTTTTATAGCCGACTATACGGTAGGGGTTTTTCTCATTGTTGAAAGTCGTACGGTTGCCTATAATTGTATACAGCCACTTCATTTGAACTTTGATGGATAATAGTCTCATTGGCAATCATACCATATCACCTTATTTTTATAGCTACTTTTTAGATGTAGAACATATCTTGTCGTACTAGAGAAAAGAAATTGAAATCAGGCAGTAATTTCAATTAAAATTATGATACATTTACGATAGAAATAAAAACGTCATTTTAAAAAAAATACCTGAGAAATAACTAATAGCTCGACCGGTGCAGCTGAAGGAGAGTTAAGTTGGTTCCCTCCGTAAAATATTCAATAAGCCTTCGGGATATACAAATATTTTCAAACTTGTCAGAAAATGGACGGGAACTGATCTAAATGAGAGTAAACATTTGTGTTGTATTATTTCTGCCATATGACATATAACGCCACTTTTGAATGACTTTAATAGTCACAGTCATTGGTAGAAACGCTACACAATTGTAGTCGCCGTATTCAAGTGAAGTAACCCCCATCATACTAGGACCACGATCCCGCTACAACCTCAGAAATTATGAAAAAAATTTGGAAGTCGTAGTAAGATCGTGTAGGTCGTGGTAAGATCGTAGTAGGGAAGTGCCAAGGTCTTCATGATTGTGGAGGTCCAAAATATTCGCAGTGCAGTCGTGGCCAAAACTAGTCGCAGTAGAAGCGTATAGGAACGTCATAGTAAGGACGAAGTAAGATCGGGATGGGCGAAGAAGCATCGTATTGGAAACGTCGTGCAATCGGGAATGCAGTGGAAAAGATTTCGCTGCGACCTTCATACGATTTCACTGCGACCATCCCGATTTCATTACGCCTTTATTACGCTTCTACTACGATATTGATACGATTATACTACGACGAGGAAGACAATAGTACGCTGCTACTACGCGCTTGTCGTCCTTAGTACGACCTTACTACGATACTACTTCGTCCTAGCCACGATAATTGCACAACCCCATTAGCTTGATATAAAAAAAAAGAAGCAATAATTTTTGATACCTTTGGCGGCATGTTTTCTCAAAGAAACTGGTGCGTACAATGGGAAAGTCAAGATATTTGTAGGGACGAAGAGCGCAGTGACAACGTAGTGGAAACGTAGTGGAGTCGTGGTTCGATCGTAGTAGACTCGTACTGAGATCGTAATGCGATCGGGAAGGTCTTGGTAGAAGCGTACATAGATCGTGTAAGTCGTGGCAAGGCCTTATTAGATATAGCAAGAGCCTGACAAGATCGTAACTAGAACGTGTTACTATCGTAGCGGAATCGTAGCATGATCTTATCAGGATCATAGCAAGGTCGTGGTATGAACGTGTAATATTGAATATTCGAGCCGACCATACCACGATGTCACCGCGATCTTATTTTTTATAGATCGTAGTAGGATCTTCATGGTCTTGGTCTAGTGTGACGCGGCTTTAATAAAATTTCTAGAATGAAAGATTTAGAATATTCTTCAAGTTTAAAGACGATCTTCTTTTTTGTAATAGTTCTACTTATTACATGTACATAACTGTCTCTTATTTCAGGCTGGCATGTGGTATCCATGACAACATACAACCCAGTTTTTAACCATACACCAGTAAACTTAACATATTACACAGGAGAAACTGCAACGTTAAGATGTTCAGTCAGTCACTTAGGACCTAGCAAGGTTAGTCGGGTATTCTTTAATCTATACAGAACACAACATTTATTTAATAAAATAACATTGAGGGTTACTTTAGTGATATGATGTACGTAAAGTATTTTACAACAGGTATATATATTCCTTGAGTGATCTTGTACAAAAGCATAACAAAATTACCGAACTCCAAGGTAAATTCAAAAAGGGAAAGCCCATACAGACTGACAAAATCAAACGTTTGACTTTATCAACCAACGGATTGAATGGTAAACAACTATCATATTCTCGACTTAGTGCAGACATGGTTGGTTAAACCCAGTTTTATAGCTACCTAACCTCCCATGCACGTGTGTGTCCTGTTGTTTATTCGGATCTATTCAGACGCTCCCCTCCTCCCATGCATTTATATCATTGATCATGCTGTCTATTGTTTCAATCTTGATGGCATTTGAAGAGTTTTAGATTTGTTGTTAAACATGTCTTCTTCACGAAGAGAGAGATAGAGAGAGTTTCACGAAGAGAGAGAGAGAGAGTATCACCTATTATCTGGCTGACTCATGAAATCGGCCAATCTCACAGGTAGTCGTCTATCGAATCAGTGGGTACATGTTTTAATAATTATGCTTGTAAAAATGTTAACAAAATATTTTCATGTCTGTTAGTAGGAACTTCCAAGGCCGATTACCTGCTATTAGAGCAGGTGGACTTGGAGCCGCTCAGTGATCGGTTTTAAAAATCCTCCATTCTGGCAATTTTGAAATATCAACTTAAAACGTGTTTGAAGGTTTTTTAAAGGTAAGGTAGGTTTTCCAAATATTTTGTCGTAAAAAAAGGTTATCTAATAATGTGAGGATGTGTACAGCAATGGAAGGGGAAAATCATTTTGAAAATAAAATTATCTAATTCTAGTTCAAATGAAAGATCATTTGAACATCTGTTCCCAGCGGACCATGAGAAGACGATTTTATCTCAAAGTTTTTCAAACGATTATGAGTAAAGTACATTCATCTTTATATCAGTAATATTATTTGTTCAGTTTTTTTGTATCTTCAAATCATTAATGTTTTAGTAAAGTGCATTTTATCCTCATCTACTTGCATTTATACTTGTGTCAGACACAAACCTACGTAAGATTTAAATCTAAAAAAGATTATATAAAACAATTTCAATTTAAGTTCTAATGTAATTGACTTTTGTCGTATACTGAAATCTGTAGTTAAATTTTCTCTACTTTATATTTTATACAGCCCGGTTGTCCCTATCAAAGTTAACTTGGTCATAGATTTTTTTAACTAATTTGGTCCAAGTCATCTGTTGTCACTATCAAAGTTAACTTGGTCATAAGTTTTTTAACTAACTTGGTCCAAGTCATCTGTTGTCATGCACTATCAAAGTTTTTCATCAAAAACTTGGTCCAAGTCATCTGTTGTCATGCACTATCAAAGTTTTTCATCAAAAACTTGGTCCAAGTCATCGGCTGTTACTATTAAAGTTTTCAAATCTTAGTCAAAGAAAAAAATGCACTGTGATTGGATAATTCCCGTCCAAGTCCATCCAATCTTCAAGAAAATAGGATGAGATTCTATTCCATCCAAGTCCGTAAAATGTTTTGATCAAAGTTCTGATTGACGGTTGTCACTATAAAAAAACCATCAAAAAGTTTGACCAAGAAAACTTGTACAATAAAACTTTGATAGTGACAACGGGTAAATTAGTTAAGGCTATATAAATTGAGGCAATTTCCGAGTTCCGATATGTGGATATTACTTCCGCCTGCTTGATTCTTCTCATCGTAAACACTTTATTCAGACACGTGATATATCATTCAAGAAACAAAAATAATCAACTGATTACTGACCTTTGATTGTAATTATTTGCCGTCTTTATTCATGGAATATACATGGCTTGTCACAAGCAATTTTCAAGTCAATCGTAAAGAATGGAAATTAAGTCGGGTTCACTAAATTTCTAAGAGAAAAAGTTGGAAATGAAATTGTCATTACTAATGCGAGAATAAAGCAACCGAATTCCTCATTTTACATCACACAGAACTCAACTTTCAAGCTGCAATAATTCGGTGCCAAAATGTAAAAGATCACCGGTAGTAATTAGTAAACATCATTTATGTCGAGCGAAACGTAGCTTAAATAATACTAATTAAACTCGTTGACAGCTGTAAATCTCGTACATACACATTTGAAGTAAAGATTCCAAAGATAATGAAAGAAAAATAATGCAAAATGCATCAGTTTTCTGTGCTTTTAAACTGAATTGTAAGTTTTATGTAATCTATATAAAGAGGAAGCACAAAAGGATCAGAAACTGTTAAAATTAAAGTCAGAATATAACGTAATGAAAAAAAGATATAATGGTGTAAGTCGTGTTTCTAAAATACTGACAGAAAGAATGTTTAGACAATACTAGTATTAAAATAAACTTCGAGTCTTGTATTTATTAATTATTTAATTTAATATTTTGTTCTTACATAAACCTTCCTAGTTTTTTGTTAATTTGTGCTTACAAAACGGACAGCTATTAAAATTGTTTTTAACAGTAAAAATATAGACGCATCAACATAGTGTAAATGTCTCTTCAGCATAAGATCTGTATAAAACCTGACAACATAGAGATTGATCTCCTTAGGATTATTACCAGACAATGTGATTATAGTCGTTTCAGTTTCTGTTATATTTTATGTCATTCTTCTCTACTTTGGTGTTCAAGTCATGTCCGGCTTCTTGTATAGATATAAAACTGATAGACATATATCCATTTGTATTCATATTGTATGTTATTTTATAGTACCATGGAAATACGTGTACCAGAAAAGCTTAAATAGGGTAGAGCTAAACGAAGGTTAATCATTTGAAAATAAAACGCTTGTTATAAAATACATATTTTTAAAGCTATTGTGGCCAGATTTACATATAGAAATGTCAGTTCGTCTATTCGAATAGAAGAAGATTTCCGGTACACATCAATGAAACAGTTAACCAAACGACATTTTAAGTTCAACTGGGAGAAATCCGTTTGTGTCACAACTAATTTAGCCAATAATGCATAAAAGTATATAATGCGACGCCCATAAACATTCGTCTGTGAATTGTATATTTAATAGGGATGTCAAAGAGTACTCGAGTATTCGAGTATCGCTGGTAGTACCGAGTATCGAATATCAAAACGATACTCAACTAATCGGTTTCCTGTTAGAATATTGCTGTCTTCTTTATATAAAATTGATCTTCTGGAGGACCTCTTTCGGAAATTAAATAGGCACCACTGATTAATCATAGTAGTAAAAAGAATATATTTTGATTCGAATGCTTGTGCTAAATTGTCATTTAAAATGCCTCCGAAAATACGAGGGTTATACATGTACCTAGGCTAACACTTTAAACTAAACATGGCTTAGCCATTCCGTCACATCGGTAACGTCAGAGCAAATATGTTCGTCTGCAAGAATGTAATTTACTGAGTTGCAAAACCGACTGTACCCAATAATAGTTGACAAGAAAATGTTGCCAAACAAAATGAATTCGTTGCATCCTCTGGTGACCCTCAGTGAATAGTTAAACTTCTAATCCTCACGCCTTTGTAAACTTTAAATGTGTTTTCTTAACGATTACCAAATAAACAAACCACAGAATGTAATATACGTATTTTTGTGACAAATACTATGACATTTTGCTTCTAGTCATTTCTGACTAATATCAGTGATCCCATGACAATTTGTCCCACTATAATACTAAATAGATTTTTGTACAAAAGATGCATAGAATAGAGAATGTAAACCTTAGAGACTATGCTGAACGCATCTATCCCATCGAACTTGAGATAAAGTTAAGGATGCAGCAGATATAGTTAAGTCTGTCTCATATCTTGACTTACATCTAGAAATTGACAATGAGGGTCGGTTGAAAACAAAACTTTACGACAAAAGAGATGACTTCAGCTTCCCAATTGTGAACTTTCCTTTTCTATGTAGCTACATTCCAGCAGCGCCTGCATACGGAGTATATATCTCCCAGTTGATACGACATTCCAGGACTTGTATTCCCTATCATGATTTTCTTGATAGAGGGTTGCTTCTCACAAGGATGCCATTAAACCAAGAGTTCCTAGTGGTGACGTTGAAATCATTCTTTCGTAAATTTTACCGAAGCCATCACGAGTTGGTTGACCGTTATGGAATATCCGTTTCACAGATTATAGCGGATATGTTCCAAATGTCGTAAATACAATCCCGTCCCCTTTTCCCCAAATGTGACCTACCGATTTAGACTTATTACCGGGTTTGTACTAACACGAGCAACACGACGGGTGCCACATGTGAAGCAGGATCTGCTTACCCTTCCGGAGCACCTGAGATCTCCCCGAGTTTTGTTTTAAAGGGGTTCGTGTTGCTCTTGCTTTAGTTATAAGTGTTGTTTTTTGTGCCTTTTAATATTTCAATGTGTTGTTTATATAGGTAACAGTCTCGTCCATCCTTTGTTAAGAAAAAGTTAATTCAATTTCAAAATTTCACATTCGGTAAAGTTTCATGGTTAGAAAATTTTACATGACGAATGGTCTAGAATTTGGTGGTGTCAGGGTTAGATAATGATCAATTACCTATCCGCCATTGTGTGATGTCTAATCACATGATATAACTTATCAATGTATTTTATAGGAGTAACACGACGGGTGTCACATGTGGAGCAGGATCTGCTTACACTTCCGGAGCGCTCGAGATCAGCTCCAGCTTTTGGTGGGGTTCGTGTTGCTCAGTCTATAGTTTTCTATGTCGTGTTTTGTGTACTATTGTTTATAGATATAAGAAGATGTGGTATGAGTGCCAATGAGACAACTCTCCATCCATGTCACAATTTGTAAAAGTAAACCATTATAGGTCAAAGTACGGCCTTCAACACGGAGCCTTGGCTCACACCGAACAGCAAGCTATATTGTTTGTCTGTCTGTTTCTTTTTTAGCCATGGCGTTGTCAGTTTATTTTCTACTTATGAGTTTGAATGCCCCTTTGGTATCTTTCGCTTATCTTTTGGACACCTCCGCTATTTAAATTCAGAAATGAATTTCTCCTATTTGAAGAAATTAATTGCAAACCAATGAATGCATGAATATCAGATACTTTTGAGTTGTCAAATCAGAACAAAATTACAATTTGCTATTATCCTTTAATTCAAGACAGCCATGATTAAAAAAGAAAGTTATACAAGTATTCATTTTCATTGTTAAAGTTCAAATAATTAGTCTGATTCTAGAAATAAAAATGGTAATTTCCTGTTTAACCAAACGTTATTACAATTTGAAGGAATTGAAATTGTATGTTTTAGGTGATTTGGAAGCGAGAGGATCAGCCTCATCCATTGACGGTTGGTAAATTTGTATATGTTAGTAACCCTGAATATGGAATAAAGCACATTCCATACAAAGACGAATGGAATCTGATTATTGAAAACGTTCAGCCGAGCCATGCTGGGTTTTATGAATGTCAGATTAGTACCAAGGACGACATAAAGAGATATGTTCAACTGCACATTATTGGTAAGATTTCAATGAAAGTTTGTTAAAGTGCCATTAATGACATTTGTTAAATGATTTGTCGTGCTGGGCAATTGGGAATACAATTACTATATGTTATTGAAGTTCTCTTGAGAATAATTTAAAATGGCGTCAAAAATACGACTTTATAAAATTTAATATATATTTTTAGATACAATTTAAGTTAAAATATGTTATCATTATTCATAAGAGAAAAACAACATGCAATAAATATTGATAAGAATTTTTTTGTCAAAACGTTGATACACGCAAGGAGATATGATGTAGATTTCATTTAGACAGCAACGCAAAACACGAATGCCATTATGAAACACTCAGTGCTCACGTGACCATACGCCCATCAATCAACAGGTGCTCACAAAACGTGTAGTTTGACAAGTTCTTATATCCGATAATTTGTTAAAAGATTAAGTTCAGAGCGCTGTAAATAACTAAAAAAAGTCAAAGGAGATCGACAGTGACAACTGATTACGAGGCTTTACATCAGCGCATGCAGATAACAATGGTGGATTTAACTGCCATGCATCTTCGCTAGCCAAGGGTTACTAACCAGGAGGGGACTGGATTATAACCCTTGTCCAGCGTAGATGACTGCCCTGTGAATGCACAATGTTTCCTATTTTACATTTTCAATGACCGAGACAGTATATTAGAAATACAAAGGAGGTAATAAAACTCAATTAAGAACAAACATTTGATTGCTTTCGGTTATTTATTATGTTTTAATCAAATAGAATTAAAAAAAAGAAATAATATAAATTTCTTAGACGAAGAATTGGCACTTATTAAATTTTATTTCAACACAAGCTATTCTGAGTCTGAAAACGGTTTCTTTATTTAATGCTATTGGAATTTCATGAACATTCTAAAAGTTTCTTGACTGTAAAATCGACTTTAATGTGATTGTTGATAAAACCCACGGTGTTAAACCAGATTAAATTGAAGAACGATGCATCATACAACGAAACTATCCATAATTTTATGAACTTTTGTTGTACTAAAGTGTATGCTTAACTTAAGTATCATAACTGAATAGTTAGCATTAGAATGGAATGTTACCTAACATAATTTAATTAACCATTGATACAATTTGATGATAAATCTCATGGTATTGCATGTGCTGTTGGTTATATTTAAAAATTTATGTAATTTCCAGATGAGCCTGGTCATGACAGAAGATGTGAGTATATTAAGCTTCATGTTGGCTGAATCCGATGAAAAATGTATGATGTTTTTTGATATAGTTTAAATTTGCATTCATTATTTGTATAAAAGAAGATCAAGGAAGGACACTTGAGAAATAAACACTGGAAATCGCTCACAGCAAAAATACGTTAATATTTGTGGGTGGAATACAAAACAGCTTTATTGATAATAAGTCACACAAAATTATTTTTGTTTTGTTTTAGAAAGGAAGGATATTCCTAATTTTACAATTTTCTCTGTTTATTCCGTCAGTGTAGATGGGAATACAAATTTTCTCCGTATACGTGAATCATTACTGGAATTATTTTCAAATTTCAATATTCACATCCGGATGGGGAAAAAAACCCTCATCAAACTGGCAGGCTTATAATTAGGTACATCAGACGCTTGTTTCGTCTACATAAGACGCTTCGAATCGTAACAGTTGGAAGGACAAATTAAATACGAGGAGGAAGAGCAGTGAAAAAAATTGGGAGTAGAGCACGGCTAAATTTGTACCGAGTACAAACAATGTAAAGTAACAAATATATGTGATTTGGTCGCTAAAGAAATGATGTGAATATAAATTGTACGTGAGAAAAAAATAAAGCTCTAAGGATTAGTTGTCCATATACCTTTTATAATGTAGCATACTCTACCCTACCCCCACCCCCAAAAAGAAAAAGAAAAATGAAAGTGAGACAATTAAAAAAAAAAGGAAAGAGCCTTCCAAAAAATGTCCTCATCTTTAGATTTTATATTGATATGCTAGTATATATGACGATGTCCTTTTAACCTATTCAACTGAGAACTTATATTTCATATATCTAATTGAAGTTGAAATTAGGCTGCCGCAGAGACAAGAAATTCAGTTTCATATTATCAATAGATTCAAAATCTTAGAATTGGCGCTGACAGACTATTTTACAAAAGACAGAATCTAAGACAAAAAGGATTTAAGTTTTCGTAATTGGTCTCTTAGCAGCTTTACTTTCAAGTCTACTGAGATGTATGTATAATAAACTATATGTTTGCATTAATATTTGTTTGTCCTTGTCACCCATGTGGTTCAATAATCGATTCACATTGATGAAAAAAATGAGTATCTAATAAATCCATGTTGAATATATGCAACGTTTGTCTATTTTAAATTTGATTGCACATGATTGTTTATGCGCTAAGCGTTCTTATACTGGTATAGGTATGTTAATGAAACACATGGCATGATGCTATTAGTATACATTTGAAAACATTCTTTTTTTATAGATATCAACATCACAGGTCCGACACGTGCTACGAAAGGACAATCTGTAAAATTAACATGTAATGTATCAGGATTCAGAAGAACACCGAAACATATCAGATGGTTTTTGAACGGTACCCACATCGTAAGCGGACAGGACCACAATATTCGGATTGTAACATACCAGAGATCAGATGTATTTTCATTGTTTAGTGAATTAGACATTGGAAAAACTAACTTAAACTATGCTGGGAATTATTTATGTCAAGCACATTTTGCAAATGGATTAAAAGTATCAAAACATATACTTTTAGTAGATACTATTAATGGTAAGTATTACACTTACAGTTATAGGCATAATCAAATTAATTTTTGGGGTCAATTCTAATTTTGTTTAACATATCAGCTGGCAAGAAAGAAACATATGAAGGTGCCAAGTAAAAGATAAATGGAATAAATACACTATTAACTTGGTTATCTGAATTATTCATTTATAGAGTATATTCCCGATTTGAAATGGACAAACCGCCTCGATGGGATGGTATCGTTGTACAAATGTAGAGTGATCACCTCGAATGCGGGAGGTTGTGGTTTCAGTCCTCCAGCCGGGTCAAACCAAAGACCTGAAAATTGGTAGTTGTTGCTTCTCTGTTAAGCAAGCGGCAGTTTGGAGGAAGAGCAACGACTAGTTAGCTCGGAGTCACAATAATGTGACATATTTTTCTTTGATCTGTTACCATGTGAACGCGCACGTTAAAAATCTGGCTAAGTGTGTCGGTCTAGTACAATGCAGGGTTCATATTCATATTTCGTTAAATTGTTCTCGTCCTGAATATGCATCTTATTTGCAATTGGACGTTAAACATCCATCTCATCGTCGTGAAAAGAACAATTTTCATCGTCAATTTTTTCACAAATTAGTTTGACGCTTCTGTTGCATAGTATACACTACATGTTGCTATCAACGGATGAGTAAAAGGGGCTGTGGGTATAGGCGTTGCTATCAACGGATGAGTAAAAGGGACTGTGGGTATAGGCGTTGCTATCAACGGATGAGTAAAAGGGGCTGTGGGTATAGGCCAAAAAGACACAAACATAAGGATACAAACAAAACCTGTATAGTTACATAGCTTCAAATAATTATGCGTATTTAAACTCCATTCGATAATACGTCAACCGAGTTCGAGACAACTTGAAACTGTATTAAATCGTTTGTTCTGATTAAATGAACTTACTTTTGTAAAATTTATTGCATTTGTTTTAATGTATGTAGATTACTTTTTATTCGCGAGTATATATGTGCAAATATGTAAAGCCTTTTAAGAAGAACAGTAAGTACTCTTATTACTTTGTTTCCAATCCAAAATACACGATCAATTGGAATCGAACAAATCTTTGATCCTACACATTTTGTTATGAAATAATGAATTAATTGTATTTAATAAGTAAGATCTAAGTATATAAAAGAGAAAATGGTATTTATTGTCAATTACTTACATTTGTAATGCATTGTCTGTTATGTACATAATTTCTAACTTATCTTTTTTATTTCATAGCAGACAGTAAACCGAGTAAACGAGGTAAGAGACCTAAGTGTGCTTTACGTATGAAATTTTTCAACATATACTTTAGAATGTATATAACATTCATATGAATCTTACACGTTTATAGTTATTTTCAACATAGTTGTCACAACATTATAAAGGACTAGGTTCACTTCCATACCTTGAGCTGGCAACAGTAACTGCTACTCCATTGTCCACTCTGCACATTAAAGAACCATTGCAACAAACCGTTTCAGATATTTTCCGACAAGATGGTAATGTGGGTAAACTGTGTTACTAGGTATTGGGTTAAACATTGACTTATATTACATTTTACAAATAACTTTCTGCAAAATCGCCAAATTTGCTGAATTTGTCAATTTCGTCATGTTTATGTTACAGCTAATATTTTTGTAAAGTATCTAGATCGTAATATTTTGTTTTCCATGTCCCGGGCCTATCAATTGTGCTTATCATATAACTCCTCCGTTGTAAAAGATAAGGTATGCAAGTTGGCAAATACAAATTGGTTGATTATCTTTTAGATGTGGCCGAGAACGATAAAAATTTGACTACATTTATTCATTTAGACTTGAAAACGAGACACAAGTACGTACAGAGCATCACATACTTTTCTCCTGATGACTTTTTAAAAGTTATCAAGACAAATGCGACCCAAAACTTGTTTTTATTTCTAGCATCTATTATGAATTATATGCATACAAAATTTTAATTACTGCCTAGGAACAGTAGCTGATGGAACAGAACGTCCAGTTCTACATAGGAACAAACAACAAACACCAAACACAGCATTCCCATGTAGTGGGACATTATGGTGTCTGACAGTGTGTTCATTGGTATCATTATTATGTTGGTTTTAGGCGATTAAAAGGTTCGTATAACGTTTATAATAGATACTGTCAATATATGCTAATATGTGCTTTATATACAGATAGAAACCTCTAAAAGGCAAATAGTTAGATCTGCGAATTACTGCAATTTTTCATACATTATAAATATGCACATGCAGAGCTGTACACAGAGCAGAATCTGAAGATAAAAACATCTTTAAATATATATATATAGTTATCTTCAATGTATAATTCAAAGAAGACGTAATTATTTAAAACAGGTTCGATTTATATCGACAGGTTCAATTTGTATCGGTCGACTTCAATCGCAGGTAATTCTTTTTCTCTAATTCTTCGTCAATTTATCCCTTTCTGCACCCATTGTATAAAAAAAAATTTAATCAACGTGTGGTTCGTTTGATCTCAGTTCTTCATTGGTTAAAATCCGATTATGACGTCGAACTTTCTTGCTTTCCTCTGCATTTCCTATTGTGACGGCATGAAAAAAGGCGACCATGCCTGATGACGTCACATAGAAAGAACACATCTTTTTGCAGATCATTCGAAAAGAGGGAATAAATTTGCCTGCGTATTGTTTGAAAATCATTAGAGAAACAGATTCCACCACCAAATCTCGTGTAATACGATATTTATCCACTCTCGACAGTTAAATTTTAAATATTTAAAACGCTCGGCGAGCCTCGCGTTTTAAATTTGAAAATTTAACTGTCTCGAGTGGATAAATATCGTATCACACTCGATGCAGTGGTAGAATCTATATCTATATATCTTTCTGTTATTTGTGACGTTGGGTTATTGACGAATACCCCATATCTTCTGTTTAGTCATGTTGCGACGTACATGTTGATTACTGTGGATTCATTTATTTTCGTGGGTACCAATTATCGTGGATTGCGGAAAACTTGCCTTTTCGTGGATACGTGATTTCGTGGTTTTGCCAAAGTCTGCATGCAACCTGATAGAAATTTGTATTTCGTGGAACATTTAAATTCGTGGTTCACCTGTACCAACGAAACCCACGAAAATTGGTACCCAACGAATAATAATGAATCCACAGTATGTGATAAATGCCGTCCGGACACAATGTTCGAGCCATAAGCTATAAAACATGGTTTGATAATGCTCCATGGGCGGAGTTGGCCCTTATTGGTTTTGAAGTGAATAGGGCAATGAATTTAACCACACTAAACATCATAATCTTTTGTTTAAAATGCCGATTGTTTTTTAAGTTAATTTCGTTCTTGTAAAATCAATTCAATAGTCATCCTTTTAATTGTCATATTTCTTAAAGTTGTACTAACAAAGGCTATAGTTATGCAATCGTATAGTACTTTTCCTCATATCTTTTTTATTTCGTCTCAAACAATTTTAATAAAGCAAGTCCCTTTCTTTTCCGGGTTGGTTATTATTTGGAACAAAAGGAAGCGTGCATACTTATACATCATTGGGGCAGTAACGTTTATAAACCCAAGGACAAAACTGAACAGAAGATATTTAGTTGGCAACATAATACTGCGTTTTTTCTTTATATAATTAATGCGGGGATTACTTAATATATAAAAGCTAGTTTAATCATGATTGTATTGAACATGTCAGTGGTTTTGGCTTGCTCCTTCTGTTGTTAAGAAATTTATTGGTTACGTTTGATCTGTTGTCTCTATTCGGGAATTCTTTTGCTAACTGTAAAATTCGAAGGACAAAGTCAGTTGTCAGTTTTGTAAGTCTTTGCAACTGCTACTGCTGATGCAAGTTAAAATAACAATAAAAACACATAAAAACGAATAACTAAGTAAACATAGTTACTTTTACATGTAGAATGTTTTTAACATAATCAAACATGTCATATTGATTAATCAAATTCAACTATCATGTATTGTCATTACACAAATACAGCATGTCCCAAAACAAAAACAAAAATTCAAGTTACATGTTTCAAAACTACGTTGCAACAACAAGAAACTATAAACTACTACGTTGCAACAACAAGGAACTATAAACTATCTATATTAAAGAAATGTTTACATGTATCTCACATGAAGTAAAAATAATCATAGCTAAATCATATTTAAGTTGATATTCAAGTTTCATCATTTTTTTTTTTTAAATTTCAGGTATACAGTATATCGCTGGGACCAAATTTACTTTTCTGACATGACAGACATCGTTGTTAAGTTGTGCATTCCAAGTCTTCCATTAAAGCTACTACCAATTTATCCCATTTGTATGAGGTAATTACATAAACAAATGTTAATATCATAAAATGTTACAATATTGCTTGCAATTAAAATTGCATAATAAAAGTTTTTAACACATATCAAAATGAATCAAATACAGATCAGATTGGTAAAAATTAATATATTTAAACTCTTATTATCCGCTACAGATGTCAACTGTATTACAAACTAATTTAGGCTTTTTAAAAATAGTAATCTCGATGAAATGAATAACTCTTGTTATCCTTTAAATTCAAAGCTCACAATTTCATAAACACAAATATATTCATAGATATTGCTTTCAGTTGAGAAGTTTGCGTATGTATCAATGTAAAATCTGTGTGTTCTGTGGCTATCACCTGGCATAAGTTACATGTATGAACATTTAAAATTATCTTATGATTGAAGACCGTATCATTATATGTCTATTTTAGTTCTATGGATCTCAAAAAATAATAAATTAAAAAAAAAAAAAAAAAAACAAAGGGTAATGAAGTAAAACATTTTCCGTGACAGTTTTTGAAGATTTAAAAAACTAAAAGGGACAACTATTACATAAAAAATTCTTACAAAACATTGACCTAGTAGGCCCAATAACAACATAATAAAGCATTTCTTTAGAACAATAGATTAAAATTAAATAAGAAGAATGTGTCTGAGGACACGAATGCCCCCGCTCAAGCTTGCTTATATTACGTGAACATACTTATTGAGAGTATTTGATGTCATTGCTAGTGAAGAAACAAAAAAATGCCAAGTTATAAAGGTACATAACTCTAGAATGGAAGTGACTCAGTGCCAAAATTCTAACTCTGTCTGCGAGTTTTGGTTCTTATCATTGTGTATGAGTTTAATTAAATTGGCATGAGGCAATCTCGAGTTAGAGTGCAGAAACGAAAAAAAAACCATTTTCCAAGTTATATAGGGCATAACTCTAGGTCGATAAGTGATTTACTGCCCAAATTTGAACCTTTGTCTGCGAGTTTTGGTCCTTAGCATTGTGTATGAGTTTCATAAAATGTGGATGAGGAATACTTAAGTAGGAGTGCGGAAACGAAAATGGGACAGACGGAAGGACGGACCGACCGTCAGTCAAGGGTAACACTTAATGCCCCCTTCGACTAACGGCGGCGGCATAAAAATCCCATTTGCGTCTCAATTCAATTTTTAAAAGTGTAGTGTCCTACTGTTTATAAATTACAAATATTACAAGTTACATCAAAATAATAGAAAATTTCATCGGCTCTTACGTTAAATATGAACAATTGTTTGCTATGGGGTCTTTACTATAAGTCAAATGAACAGCTTCATTTATATCTAGTTAAAATACAGATGATGTGTACACGAATCTATATTGTAATCAGCACAGGCGCTTGGGTATATGATACAGATTTTTTTTTTTTATTTTTTTTTTTTTGTTGATTAAAATATTCAATTTTCTATATTTATACTACATATCTATCACTACTGCGCATGTTCCACGTAGTTTCAAGTGATTTTACCAACTCTTGAGACAACCCCCATTTTTACTATCCACACTAAGAAACAAAATGAAAAAAGTATATGTATCATATACCCAAGCGCCTGTGGTAATCAGCTGCAGCTTCAGACGTGCTAATTTTTAACCTTTTTCAAAAGGACCAAATACCTACTTTGATACCTTGAAATTCATGACCCAATTTTTTTAAGTGTAATTTCACCCCCTTCATGCTAGTTTATGCATAAAACATGAAGAAACACAATCGATAGGTGTATGAAAAAAATTAACACACTGTCCACAATAGGGACTATATTTGTGTATAATTGTGTTCTCGAGACAGTACGTGTACTTAATTTTCCAACACAAACTTATAAAAATAAAGAGATATGGAATGATTGCCAACGAGACAACTATGATCAACTAAAGTTCAAATGAAGTGGATGTAAGCAATTATAGGAAATCGTACGGCCTTCAGCAATGAAAAAAAAACCAATTCCGTATAGTCTGCTGTAAAAGACCCGACATGAAAAATATGAAACAATTCAATTGAGAAAACTTAAAGCATAATTTATAACAACACAATTTAAGAAAAAAAATATGACAGACATGAACCAACGACAACCCCTGAACTACAGGCTCCTGACTTGGGATAGGCACATAAAGAATGTGGCGAGGTTAAACATGTTTGTGAGCGCTCAACCCTCCCATTATCTGGTGCTCAACTCTCCCATTATCTGGTGTATGTTTCTAATAATAGACTACGTTTATCATTTCAGATCATCATTATTCAGATAGTTAACCAGTTTTAAGTTTATGGATGTCTTATTGCAGCATTTCCGGGCCTTTTTACATCGAAATATCATTCATTATTATAAAGTATTCAAATAAATATAAAAGATATAAAACATTTTATCATTTTGTCTTCTGTTCAACAAAACTATGTGCAAAACAGCCATTTTAGTTCAAATATGTCAATTTAATCATTTTATTGACGTCACAGTGCCATCAAAGCTGATATTTTATGTACTAAAGTGTAAAGATTACATCAGCCTATCAATTCATTAATAAATCTGAACATAATCTATAAAGCATTTTACTATTTTTGCCATTTCAGGGGCCAAATAATTGCTTTTATCATATCTCCCCTTGAGGTTGATTGAATGCATTGTTGCATGTCATTTTAAAGACTTAAAATGTTGTATCTGGTATAATTGATATGTTGTCTTCAATGTATTTATGGTAAAACATTACTTAATACACCAGGGAATAACAGAGTATCATGATTCTCTTAATTTTAATTATTCAAGATACAAAAAAATAAAACTTAGAAATAGTGCATATAAGACAGTATAATAATTGTTATTCATGCTTATTCTTTTGGAGAATCTGAGACAAATATAAGCTTTAGTAAGAGTTGTCAATAGCAGCTTATTGCTTAGCCTGTTGTTATAAATCATTATAAAAATAAGAAGATGTGGTATGATTTCCAATAAGGCAACTATCCATCAAAGACAAAACGATGTAGAGGTCACCATACGACCTTCAACAATGAGCTGAACCAATACCGTCAAGTAAGCTATTAAAGGCCCTGAAAGACAAAATATAAAACAATTCCAACGAGAAAACCAAATCCTAATTTACATATATAACAATAAACAAAATAGACAAGAACCAATGACAATCTGTATTTATTTGTCCATTCAATTGTCTCGTTGCTTTTGATTCGTCTCGTTCATGTATCGTCCTCTTGATTCTGAGTGTTGACTGTTCTTTTCATGCACAACACAACACAACATAATACATTAGGAAGACATAGTCGTGTGTTACAAGAGACATCATGCATAACAATCACAAGGTATAATAGATGTGAATGATGGTTGCATATATAACTTTGTTTACAATATCATATGAGAGTAAATGAACAGCATTCTAATTCTAACTATTTTTTTTAATGAACATAGATGTTCTTCATTACTTTATATTGCAAACTGAAAGCAGCCCTTTAATTTTTTCCAACATTTGGATATCTATGGTAATATATTCGAGGATATATGGGGCAGACACGACAGTCTGTCATCTATATATGAATACAAACCACCTTCCTGTCTTTGTTGGTTAATGTTTACTTTAGCTGTAAAATATGTCAAGCTTGCTTAGCATTTTGCGATCCATTGATTGTTCAGTTATATTGTTATTGGATCTTGTGTTTCTGATAAGTTTTGCTGTTTATAATTAATGCATTTTTTTTTATCTATTATAGTTTAAAAATAATACTCAATTATGCTAAAATTGGTAAAAACAAATCTTCAATCATGTTAACAATTTTATAGATTTTGCTGTTTACCATTTCTGTCTTATTATCTGAATTTTTCAGGACAAAAGGCAAAAACACTAAAACTAGTAATCTTCATTTTAGAGCAATTACTTCCTATCATGAATTTTGTGTTGATGACAAACATTTTGTATTATCTCTGAACATGCTATCTTCTATATTCTATATTCTGTCTGTCTAGACTACGGTATCTGAATTGGTTGATTTATTATTGTTTATTTAACGCCAAGTGACATTTCATACGTTTTCAGAACGAGAACAAAGCAACAATTAAAAACCAATTTAAGGTCTTTCCACCCCCAAATGAACATGTTTTATACAAAATATTCACTTTTGGTTTTATAAAATTTTGGTGTCAGATAATAGAATAATTGACGCTGATTCCAAAAGTACATGATTTCTATTTACCTTTTCTAAAATTAAGATAGATAAAAATTTCACTTCTGGTTTCATTTGAACCTGGATGCACACTGATTCCAAAAAAGTTATAGTACTTTTTACATGAAAATAATACAAAAATGGTTACTTCCGGTTTACAAAAGGTCACTTCCGGTTGAACTTCTTTAAGATCATATGTCTTGAACCCAATGTAAAATAACCTTATAATGTACCACTAAGAAGTTAAAGCAAAGGTCAAAATCTAGAACGTCAAATTAAACTTTGACATTGACCCAAATTTCAAGGTCATAAACCATGGACCTCAAATCAAAATACCCAAGGTCTTTATTATATATGGTTAATGAGTTATATCACCATACGTATTATTTTAGATATAAGAGGGAAGAAAACTCCCATTTAATGTCAACGTAGCCTTTCAACCAAAATGTATGTGTTACGTTGTCGATATCTGATACGCTTTGAAAAGAAGTGATAATGAGCCAAAATCAAAATTTAAAACATGACCTTGACCTTTGGCCGTGACCTTATTTTCTTTTTTGTTTGACAAAGGACCTCAAATCAAAAGACCCTAGGTCCCTATCACTTATGGTTTAACAGTTACAAATGCATATCACTTATATCAATGCATAAGGGGAAATAACTCTCATATGGAGTCTCCAGATTCCTTCGCTCAAAATTATTATTCTTATACTGAAGATATAACAAACAATTTGGTAAAATAAATTTGTCGGTTACTTTTATGGTTGCGAAGGAGTAGTGGACACAAGAAAAACAGTGTTTGGGGAGATAACTCCCACAAGAAAAAGTATTCGGTTAATCAGTGTCAGTTTCAAAAGTATCTGTAGAAACCATTTAATGTTCAATTATGATGTATGATTGCTGTCTTATAATGAAGAATACCCCATTTCTCCATTTACTATAATACATACACATTATAAATTAAAAAAAGATAATGGATAGTTGAAAATAAAATCACTTTCTTCAGATATTAACCATGGTTTTATCGTCATACTATATGAAGACCATTAATTGGTGGTCTTAAGCAATGAGTTAAAAATCACATAAAGAGTAATACCAAGACAGTTCCAATCGTCGCCCTGTTGGTACTGTTTGAAATTCCTAATATACGCTACAAATTGTCTTAAAGTTAAGCAGGATTGTCAATGAATTTCTGAAATAACTTGTTTGACTTTCTTACAAATAATATCATTTGTTGGCCGATACAATGTCCCAAAACACATATACGCAAGAAGTTACTACATTTCAATGAGCCTCTGAAGCAATAATAAACATGATTGTGCTAAGGTGAAGACAAAAACAAGTTAAAATGTACAATTTCGTCGACTTTATTATATTGTTGTTTGTCTTTTCGGCACTTTTCGTTTTTTACCATGGTGATGTCGGTTTTTTACCATGGTGATGTTGGTTTTTTACCATGGTGAAGTCGGTTTCTCTTCGACAAATTAATTTTGATTGTCCGTTTGGTATCTTTCGTCGATTTTATATCATTGTAAAACACCTATCCCATGCTACTGGTATATACATGTACACCTAGGAAGTCAGTATTGTTTTTTATATTGGTTTTATAGTAATTTTGCAAACGTAAATTTCATTCAGTGAATGTCATTATGAGTTGTCGACATCTGAGTTTTATAGATATATTGAATCTTTCTTAACAAGAAAGAATTGCCTACAAATTTAATACACCATACAGTGCACCTGTATTATTTTAATGCCTTTGAAGTAAAATGAATTAAAAGTCTTACACACACTTTTTATATTTATATGTTTTTAGATATTCTTGCTTGGCAATAACAAATTAATGATAATTTGTAGTCCTTGGGTTTTCCAATCATTTCTACATGTACGAAGTCATAAAAGCCATTTAGTGTCATAATGAATTTTCAACATCTGAGGTGTATAACTCTTAATCTTTCTTAACTAGAAAGAAATGAATAGAAACTATATGTACACCTTCTCAATAAACAGTACACTTGAATATTTTTACTTCATGTCTTTGAAGTTAACCGAAAGTACAAATCTTACTGGAAGGTATACACCCACTTTCTATGTATAAATAATTTTAGAGATTCCTGGCATTTACTAAAATACTATTACAAATTAATTATAATCTGTAACCATATTTCATATAATCAGTCGCTAAGTTTTCCAACTATTTCTAGATGATACATGTTTTAGTCTTTTTCACTTATATAATTATGACACGACGATAGCACTTAATTCCGAAAAAAAACCAGAATAAACATATCGTACGAATACCTTTAGTTGCAAACTTATAAATCATTTGGTCTCTGGTGGAGAGTTGTCTCATGGGCAGATCACATTTTCTTATATGTATATTTACTAAAATACATTCAATGTACGAGGTTTCTCGCCTGAAAAAAAATCCTCAATCTCGATAAACATTCAAAATTAATTAGGTTGCTTGGTTTCTCTTAAATAATTCTCAATCCAGATCGATAGCAGGATGCATTGTTTTGTGCAATATTTTAATCGCGACCAACACACTTAGTTTCTTCATGGGGTACTGGATTTTGCGTTCATAAACATCAATATCGAAGTCGTTTGATGAAAGAAACATATTGTGGATTCATTTTCATTTTTTGGTTAATAATGTTTGTGAATTTCGTGGGCATAGGTGAACCACGAATTAAAGTGTTCGACGGAGTAAAATTTCTTATTAGTTTGTATGCAGAATTTGTCAAACCATGCACTAGATGAAATATCCATGAAAATACAAGTTTTCCTCAATAAACTAAAATGAGTACCTATGAAAATAGTACAGTACATCTTGCACCAGTATCTATAAGAAAAATCAGATCTCGAGATACAAAATGTACATGTAGGGGTTTATAATAGTGCAAGATATGGTCTGAAGTTTTCCAATAAAAATTGAGTCAAGTGAACCCTTTGTAAGAAAGTCTAGCATAAAAATCTATTACAAATGTTTACTCCTAGCTTTCATATTCATACCCAACAATAATTTTGATATAAAAGAATAAAAAATGACGACCAGAATATATTAATTTTCATATTCTAAAAAGCACTATACGTAAGTCTTTTCAAAATAAATTGGTATCAGTTTGCTATGCTCTTGGCTACACAGTAACAAGTCATACTACATTGGATGAAATCATTTCGTGCATAAATGTAGTTAGATTCAATCAGTTTTCAGGAATTATATTTTGGTCTATTTAGGTTATCCGATCCGAATACATTTAACGTTTTGATATTCTCAAATTTTGGCTCTGATAATTTCAGTTGATAGTAAGTTATTCTCCTTGTTCCTTTGCACTTTAAAGGGAAACTTCGCAAAA